TAAGAAATTAAGTGGCAAGGTTCAGAATCCTAGAAACACTCAAGAACTGAAGGCTGAAGTTCAAGGTGGTGCTAAAAACAAAAGGATGAGCTGAGGGTTTAAGGAGCAACTGGGCACCCCAGGCCCATTCCCGCAGACTCCACCGGCAAGTTGTTCCCCTTCTCCAATCTGGGCAGAGGATTATTCTCTGAAGAAGTTGAAGCAGAGAGGCTCAGAACTTGGACACCAGGCACAGCTGGAATCGGAGTAAAGAGTCATACTTAATGAAAACAAATCAAGAGAAAGTCTGCATAGAGAACAGTGAAGCCCTCGGCCTCATCTTGATCATCTCTTAGAATAACGGCAGCTACGCTTACATAGCCTTAAAAATAGATAGGTAAATCTGCTCTGGGGGAACTACCCAACCAAGGAAAAGACCTACAGTACTTTTCGGTAAGTACTCCAATGAAATGACTAGGTCTTCACTGATATACACTGTGTTGCTGATATACCCTGTGTTGAGGCCCACCAGCTGACAAGCCTGCCCAGGCACAGAGAGCTTCCAATCAGCTTTTTAATGCATTACTCAAAATACAAATTGAGAGCCAGCAGTTCTCTCCAACAGGTATAACAGCCTCTCCAAAAATCTCAACAGGCAAGGCAGACACCAAAGAAAACCAACACATACAAGGAACTCAAAGGAAACTCAGAGATAATTCAAGCAGTATACAAAAAAAAAAGAAAACTAAAATTCTCCAAGCTACATTTAGTATCCTCAGAAACATATGAGAAGATAAATTATTCATGGAAAAAGAACAGGATGCTTTTTTAAAGAGAACATTCAAAGAACAAGAAAGGGCTCTTGGAAAAAAACAAAAATATCTATAAAGCAAAAAAAGTATGGAAAATAAAACGGAAAAGATAAGAAAATTAGATGATCAAACCAGGAGAGACAGCATCCACCTAATAAAAGTTTCAAAAAACAAAAAACAAAACAAAACAAACAAAAAAAAAGAAAACCAAAAGAACAAATTAGCAAAGAAATAATAAAATACTTTCTCAAACTAAAGGTAATTAACTTCCAAACTAAAAAGACTCACTGAGTACCAAGAAAAAGGTCCACACAAAGGATAAAGAAGAAAGCCCGACAAGATTACACAAAGAAAAAAGCAGATCACAAACAGAGAATTTGAATTAGAGTAGTCTAACCCCGGTGGCGTAGTGGTTACGAGCTATGACTGCGAACCAAAAGGTCAACAGTTCAAATCCACCAGGTGCTCCTTGGAAACCCTATAGGGCAGTTCTAGTCTATCCTATAGGGTCGCTATGAGTCAGAATCAACTCGATGGCTGTGGGTTTTCGAGGTAGGACTTTCAATAACAACTTAGGAACCCAGAAAACAACAAATCAATGAAATTATTTCAAACTAGCGTCCTATAAACCAGCCAAGCATGAATAAAGACTAGTCATATGTGCAAATTCCCCATCACCCTTTCTCAGAAAGCTCTGGAGAAAGTGCTCCTATAAAAGAATGAAATAAACCAAGAACAGAAAAGACAGGCACAGGTATACAATACAAAAGAGAAGAAAAAGGACATTCTCAGGGAGTTGGCAAAGGGAAGACTCCCAACAGCAGGTATGGAGATCAGCCAGTCCAGATTAGATATGGACCAAGGGGAACTGCCAGGACATTCTCATTGGGTGAGAGGCAAAATGATAGATGACTTGATTCTGACTTGTTTCAGAGGATTGTATCATTTTGTCCAATAGTTTAGGTCCTGAATTTGTGACTGAAATTATATTAATTATGGACAAAAGAAAAGAGAAGGCAATTACCATTAGGAAATCAAAAAAGCTGAGCAAGTAAAGAAATTTAATCATAGTACACTATGGCTTGGCTATAAACATTATTTACATCATTGTAAGATTGTAAACACTGTATATTGATTTAAGCCAAAAAGATGGAGGTAGGAGAAATGTATGTGGGAATGGAGAATACAACATAGAAAGTCCTCTCTTGATGTGCTTCTTTGGACTCAGTACATTGATAGTTACACCTAGAAGCTTATGCAGATTCAGGTTTATCCTGCTGGCAACACTGCTTCATAGATGATTCTGCATACTTCCATCAGGAAATGTAGTATCTAGCTGTCCTTCTTGTGGTGATGTTAGCAGCTATTGATAATTATTGCTTAAATGCATTAATTCATCAGGGCTCACAAAAAGGTGATTCTTAAATCTATTACTCTGTTTTGATTTATTAGTGGGGATAGTTCTAAAAGACAAATTTCTCCTCCTCAACACTGGGTTACCATGGGGTAAATTTCCTAAAGGAATAGTAGAAGATTAAATACTTGGTCATTTGCTTTATTTACCAGTTTTCAAAACTGATCCTTGTTTGTTCATATACAGGCTATAAGTCTTTATCTGTTACTTTATAATCTGCTACCTGACTAAATTCTTTTATTGCTTTTAGTATTTCCACTGATTCTTTTGGATTTTCCAAATTTATCATTATGTATCTACAATCAGAGATAATGTTAACTCTTTCTGGCATGCTTTCACTGCCTGTAGAGATGTTATCTGCTCTTTATTCTCTTTCTTCTCATAGTTTTGCATGGGATTCAACCGTTCTTCTTTCTATTGCTTATTTTAAGTAAAATGAGATTTTCTGTGGTTTTATGAGAGAGGTGTGGCCAAGTAGCTTTTCTAGCTTCATGAAATAGAGTTCCCTTGTCTGTTTTCATGAAGTGTGTGTTTGGGGGGTAGGGGCACAATCTCCCACACTCTGAGATGTTCCCATATGTTTCCCTCCAACATTTCTTTCTGGACCTTCTCTCCCCTACTCAACCTGCCCTGCATAGAACTCTACTGTAGCATTTTCTATTCAGTGTAAGGCTTTGTCCTAGAAGGGTGTTTCAATTTGTCATTTTAGACAGATCACAAGAGAAAGATGGTGAACCACTAAAATACCATTAGACCTTTCCATAGTTTCCTTCCACTCACCCACTCACAGGAGCCATCAAAGTCCCCCCAACCCCCACATTTGCTGCTAATATTCTCAGAATGGCCTACCAGCCAACACTGTGTACCCAATGGCAATTTTGCAGTTTTCTGGCTCTCAGAGTAGTCACAAATCCCTTTGCATTCTCCAACCTTCTTCCTGCACATTTTCTGATACCACATAGATCTTGAAACTATCCCTGGTTTGTCCCTACCCACCCTAATTGTGAGGTTCATGGAAATATGTTGTTACCTATATTTGTTGTAGATGTTATCTGTTGGTTTTGGTTTTGGTTACTCTGTCTAATTATATGAGGGGTTTCAAAACCTATGCCACTGCCATCCTTCCAGAATCCTCTCCTGTTGGTCCTTTAAACTATGTTCAAGTATTACTTTAATAAAAATAAATACAAATCACATCAGACAGATTAGTCTCAACTTTGCTTGATAAAGATTTCAATTCTTTATCAGAAATTAAGAATGAATATCATAAGCACAGTGTTGTAATTTACACTATGATGTATATTCTGACTTTCAAAAAACAAGGCTCCCCAGTATCAACAAGCACTCTTAGCACTCAGATCTTGGTTTCTAAATACCATCCTCCAATAAAAGGAACCAGAACTTCTTGGAGAAACAGCTAATTCTAGTGCTGGGGCAGGGAAAATAGAATATACGCTGGAGGAATGAAGTTTTATGAAGTGCTCATAAAACAAAAGAATGAGGGCATCTCGGAGGGACACAGGCATCAACCTAAAAGAGCTCCCAATGGCCAAAGCAAAAACAATTTGAACAATAAAATGAATAATGCACCAGTGGGTTATAACTAGGAATGCCAAATAAAATACAGGGCAGCCAGTTAAATTTGAATTTCGGATAAATAGTGAACAATTTTTTTTCATATAAGTATGTCTCATTACATTATGGAGAAGGACATCATGCTTGGTAGAGGGTCAGCGAAAAAGAGGAAGACCGTCAATGAGATGGACTGACACAGTGGCTGCAACAATGGGCTCAAGCACAAAAATGATTGCAAGGATGGTGCACTACCTGGCTGTGTTTCGTTCTGTTGTACACAGGGTCCCTATGAGTTGGAAATGACTCGACAGAACCTAACAACAACATGTCTCTAGTATCTGAAATTCAAATTTCTGTATATCATATATAGGTTGATATATATATAGGTATATATACATATATAAAATAAGTTAACTGTATAGTAAAATACATATAATTCTTTTTGTACAGCAAGGGTTTAATCATTCTATGTAGTGTCATACAGATTAACTGAAGTATCAATATTCTTCTAGCACTCAACATTTCCCGCATTGTTTCAGCCCTCACGAAACTTAAAATTTGGAATGGCATGTGGTTCTAACAAGACAACAGAATCAAATTCTCTGAGCATTCTCCTCTTGCCTTTTAAACTCTTAGAGCATTTATGTCAAAAAGCCTCAAGTGTTAGGTTAAATCAGAAAAGTAGCTAATTTTAAAAGATCATAGGTTTTTTTACAATGTTAAATGCAAGCCAGTCTTGGAACTATAAGTTTCGGTAAAAAAATCTTACAGCCAAGGGCAAGAATTAGGCTCAAAATTATACACTTCATAAGTTCAAAAGTCAAGAATTGCTTTGCTTTAGTTTGTTTAGAAAATTTCATTATGATGAAAAGGATTTCCCTTTAAGAGGATCAGTTTCAATGTCTAGTTCTTAAATTTTTAAAAATCTACATTGAAAACAAACTAGTGTAATACAAGTGAACAAATCTTGACTTTTAGTCTAAGATGAAATTTTTTGTGAATTTACTCAGTTTCAAAACTATCCTTACTGCCTGCAAACACAGTAAAGTTCTAAAAGGATTTGAGATACCAAAGGACTTTTAATAACGAATTCCTCTTAGTGGAAATAACTTGAAAAAATGATTTTTCAAAAAAAAAGTTGAACCATTTCACATTTGGTTTCTAGGTGCTTATGAATAAATAGCCTGTGTGTCATTTGCTCTTTCTCTCTCTTCCAAAACAGTAAACCACCCTGGGAAATAATGCATAATAATGCACTGATATAGCTACCTGCTCTCTTCCAGCACAGCATGCTACTATTATAAGAGCCATATTCCTCTGCTGACCCAGTGATAGAGAAGAAGGCTCACTTACCGAGCTGGGGCTGGAATGCCTTCGAACTTTGGGTGACTCTTTCCCAGCGGAGGAGGACTTAAAGTTAATGCAAGCATTGTTCTCAGAATGTACCCTCTTCACTTGATTAGCTGGCTTCTCGAATGGGTCGAAAGTACTCTGTGTCCTCTGAACTCTGACTTTTTTATCCTCAGGAATTGTGTCCAGGGGTTTGATCACTGAGTCCATTCCCTGGCAGTTGCGTGTAGACATCTTTGTGACACATATCTGGGGAAAAAAAAATTAAAACTCAGAACTCTGCACTGAAACTTTAATATCACTAAACATCCTGATTTCTTATTCTAGATAGCATGCCAATTTCAATTTAGAAGATACCCCAAAAAGCCCACATTCTAAAATCTACATCAGCTTAGTTTTGTTTTGTTTTTTTAATTCCAAAGATGGTAGATGAAAAGGAATAATACTGTAAAAGACAAACACTGAATAACACTCATTTCAAAACTAGGTTTACATCATTCTGCTAGGTCCCTGTTTGCTTTCATACATCACCAATCATTCTCCTGCACAGCCTGCCCCATTCTCCCGTTTCAATTTATTATGGTCTCTGTCTGTTCCTCTGTTTTCTACTCTATGTTCTAACTCTTTTGTTCTCCCTACACTTTTGAACTTTTGTTGTCCTTATTAAATAACTGTATCGCCTCTAGCTTCTCTGTAAGGCTAGGTAACTTTGTTTATTCTCTCTAGAGAAAAGCTAACCCTAAATGAAATTGCTTTTAGAATTATTTTTCTTCATATAAAAAGTTTTCACATCCCCATATGCTATCAAAAGGAGACCTTGGGTGGTACAAACAGTTAAGTATTCAACTATTAGCCAAAAGACTGGCAGTTCAAACCCACCCAGAGGCACCTCAGAATACAAGCCTGGCGATCTGCTTCCAGAAGGTCACGGCCTTGAGAAACCTATGGAGCAATTCTACTCTGCACTCATGGGGTCGCTATGAGTTGGAATTGACTCAGCGGCAACAAATAACAACAAAATGTGCTATCAAAAGCAGAAATACAATCGATATTTAACAAAATCTCATACTGTTAAAATGAAAATATTAAGCTTCAATGTAATACATATAAGATGATTCTATATGGGGAATAAATGGATCTGTGTATATGGTTAAGGTATATAGAGAGATGTAGATACGGATATAGACATACATATAGATATTTGTATTGTATGAGCACAGGGAAAGGTATAGAAGAAAACACACCAACTGTTAACATCAGACATCTGCTGCCATGTGGAACTGAACAGTGAAAGGGTAAGATTATAAACATTTTTATACACCTTTGTATTGACTGAACTGTAAAAGAAACATGTTTTACTATGCAATTTTTTAAAAACTCCACTACAGTACAAAAGTTTTTAAGCTGTTTGAAGTTACTAAAACAATAAAAAATTTTCATTAACTATCAAGCATCAAACCTATTTAAGACTATGTCTCAACTACTAAACATAGGCTGGATTAAGTCGAATGAGAAAAATATTATCACACTTTTTAGCACATCAAAAAATCGCTAAAGTTATCTTTAAAACTGAAGGTAGAGTCCCCTACTCTACTCCTACCCCTACTCATGATCAAAGCTAACAATTTATCACAAATAGGTGGTGGTTGTTGTCAGGTGGTGTCAAGTCGGTTCTGACTTAGTGACTCTATGTAACAACAAAACACTACCCAGTCCTGTTCCATCCTCAAAATCGTTGCTATGTTTGAGTCCACTGTTGTAGCCACTGTGTAAATCCATCTTGTTGAGGGTCTTCCTCTTTTTCATGGACCTCCACTTAACCAAGAATGATGTCCTTCTCCAGGGACTGGTCCCTCCTGATAACATGTCCAAAGTACGTGAGATCAAGTCTCGCCATCCTCACTTCTATGGAGCATTCTGAATGTACTTCTTCCAAGACAGATTTGTTAGTTCTTCTGGCAGTCCATCTTATAGTCAATATTCTTAGCCAACACCATAATTCAAAGGTATCAGTTCTTCTTCAGTCTTCCTTATTCATTGTTCAGCTGTCGTGTGCATATGAAGTCATTAAAAATATCATGACTTGGTCAGCCGCACCTTCGTTCTCAAAGTGGTATCTTTGCTTTTTAACACTGTAAAGAGGTCTTTTGCAGCAGAGTTGCCTAATGCAATATGTCTTTTAATTTCTTGACTGCTGTTTCCAGGGGCGTTGATTGTGGATCCAAGTAAAATGAAATCCTTGACAGATTCAATCTCTTCTCCATTTATCATGATGTTGCTTATTGATCCAGTTGTAAGGATTTTTGTTTTCTTTATGTTAAGGTGCAATCTGTACTGAAGTGCTTCAAGTCTTCTTCACTTTCAGCAAGTAAGGTTGTGTCATCTGCATATCACAGTTTGTTAATCAGTCTTCCTCTCATGCTGATGCCACGTTCTTCTTCATATACTCCAGCTTCTCAGATTATTTCCTCAACATAAGATTGAATATGTATGCTGAAAGGATACAACCCTGACGCACACCTTTCCTGATGTAAACCACACAGTATCTCCTTGCTCTGTTTGAATGACTGCCTCTTGGTCTATGTTCAGGTTCCTCAAAAGCACAATAAAGTGTTCTGGGATTCCTATTCTTCCCAATGTTATCCACAATTCGTTATGATCCACACAGCTGAATGCCTTTGCATAGTCAATAAAACACAGGAAAACATCTTTCTGGTATTCTCTGCTTTCAGCCAAGATCCATCTGACATCAGCAATGATATCCCTCATTCCACGTCCTCTTCTGAATACAGTTTGAATTTTTGGCAGTTCTCTGTGGATGTACTGCTGCAACTGCTTCTGAATTATCTTTAGCAAAACTTTACTTGTATGTGATATTAATGATATTGTTTGATAATTTCCACATTCCGTTGTATCACCTTTCTTTGGAATGGGTACAAATATGGACCTCTTCCAGTTGGCTGGCCAGCTAGCTGGCTTCCAGATTTTTTGGTATAGACGAGTGAGCATTTCAAGCGTTGCATCCATTTGTTGAAACATCTCAGCTGGTACTCAATCAATTCCT